ACTAATGTGATGTTCAGAGTGAGCTGGTTTAGAGAACTGTTTAGTCATCAATATCTTTGTGGTGGTTGGAATCAGGGAGATCTCTGTGGAATGTAGACCTGAGGCTATCACATTTAGGAAGCAATGTCAGTCAAGGTATGACGTAGCTATTCAACAATGACAAATCGCTCCCACATCTCATGAGCCCTCCATAAGAAAGGTCTGCCAATTGCCTCTGTGTCCTCATTCAGCAAGGTTGACCATTGAGCTGCTGATAGGACGATGAAGCAGCCACCTTGACACAACTTCTGTGCCAAGGACACAGGACTCGGATGCTGCAGTCTGGGGAGTTTGTCTGATAGGCATGGAGTGAGCGCAGCCTCGACAGACTGCACATTCATGTGCCATATGCTTTGTGCTAAGGGCACTGCTTAGGCTCATTAGTTCATTTATTCTTAACTTTTTAAAGATTTCCTTGTTTTATGTGTATAAGTCTTTTGCCTGCATGTATGTATGTGCACCCTGTATATTCTTGGTGCCCACGGAGGCAAGAAGAAGGTGTCAGATTCCCTGGAACTGGAGTTGAAGATGGGTGTGGGTGCTGGGAATCCAACCCAGGTCCTCTGCAGGAACAAGTGCTCTTAACTGCTGGCCCATCTCTCCAGCCCCTTGCTTCATTTATTTACTTAATTACAATACCCTGCCCATATTTCTTGTTCTTGGCTCCTCTCTCTCTCCCTCTCCCTCTCCCCCTCCCTTTCTCTCTCTCTCTCTCTCCCCTCCCTTTCTCTCTCTCTCTCCCCTCCCTTTCTCTCTCTCTCTCTCTCTCTCCCTCCCTCCCCTTGACCTTGTGTGCCCTATTCTCAGATTTTTCACTCACCCTCCCAGTCTGTGTCCATACTTCACTCACAGTATGTTCTTCCTTGGCTTGCATCCAGGGGTCACTGGGCCCCTGAACTCTGACTCTCCAAGTCAAGTAGAATCAGAAGTGCTTCCTTTGAAGTATGGTCATATACTTTGGGCAGTAGGATGTCAGCAGACAACATGGGCCACTTTCTAATTCCAGCCTTCAGGACCACTGTATGACTTATCACATCCCCTTTCTTCTAGTCCGAAGAATGGAAACAATAAATCAAGTGTATTAATACCTGTAAGCTAATATTCACAAAGCATCTGTGCAAAAAATAATCAATGTGCAACCATAAATATCTTTGGGGTGAAGGGTATTGCAATCTGGTGGCCATTGCTACTGGTTTTTTGCTCTCGTATCTTTTCCTTGTTCTAGTTGTTTCCATGATCCCACCACATCAAGGTGTCTGACTACAAACCTCTCTCCTCCTTTAAGTCCTGAATCTCATTTCTTTTTTTTTATTAAGAATTATTTTTATTCATTTTACATAGCAATCACAGATCCCCTTCTTCCCTCCCCTTACCTCTCCAGACTCCCCTCCCAACCCACCCCCCATGCCCTCCTAAAAAGAAAGTAAGGCCTCCCATGGGGAGTCAGCAGAGCCTGGTACGTTCAGTAAAGGCAGGTCCAAGAGTCTCCCCCTGCCTCCAGGCTGTAGGAGGTGTCCCACCATAGGTAGTGGGCTCCAAAAAGCCAGCTCACTGCATCTCATTTCTTAAAAGAGGCTTGTCCTGACCATTCCGACTGAAACTGCTCCGCCCAGTTCCTTTACCCAGCACTGTGCAAAGTCTCATGAAGCACTTCTTACCGTCAGTCACGGCACGTATTTTAGGATTTGTGTTGTGTTTCTTGGCTGCTGGCTCCCTTGATGCAGTGCAAGCTCAGTGAAGGCAGGAGTCTTTGTTGTGGTCACTGCTGTAACCAGAATGTCATTGGTAGTGCCTAATGTATAGCTGTTTGTTGAGTGGATGGCTTTGTGACTTGAAATGATGAGGAGGACGAAATGATGAGGAGGACAGTGGGAATATTTGTATTGTGGGGGTAGCAGTGCTGAGCCACATCTGCAGGGATTTGGTGGGTAATGAATTGCCTTTCAGAAAGCCTGGGGCTTGAGGGTAAGGGATTGTACATGCTCGGCAAATGCTCTACCACCTTCTGACCTTCCGTCTTGTTTTATGTGTGCTTTCTTTTGGAAGAAGTGTGTCCACGTGGAAAGAGCCATCAGAGAAGGAGAGCCTAGCCACCATAGAGAATGGCTTTGGACAGAACGAGGACCTTGAGGAGAATGAAGGCAGAGACTGGGGTGCTGAGAGGAGCGTGGGGGTGCTCCTCCTGCTAAGGTAGAAAGGAAGGATGAGAAATTAGGTTCAGTGTCAGAAGGTTTATAAGGCTGGAAGTTGAAGGCACTCTGGTTGGGTAGGAGGGACTTTTTCAGTGATGAGGGTTTAGAGCATAGCCAAGGTTGCTAAGACTGGAGCTTTCAAGAGAAATACAAAAGAGTGGACAGTCTGAAAGAGGGGAGTAAGAGAGACAGGAAGTATTTGTAGAGTGTTGTGGAGGCTAGAGGATGCTGGTGGTGACTGACTTCAGGTGGTTTCCTGAGATGCTCATCCCTCGGCTTCCATACTTACTTGGAGGATCACTTTGTAGTCACACATGATGGCTCCCATCAAGGAGTGGTCTTCCTTTTTTTATTTGGATTTGTCTACGGACCTTGGGGGATGGAGTATGCCCCCTGTCTTAGGATCCTTACTCAAATACAGTTCCTATTATGTTTTCCATTCTATAAAAAATAGCTACAACCATGAGAAAGTGTGTCAAGCATGGTGGTAATCAAAACGATGACTCCCATCAATGGGGGAAGAACAGCATACTGGGGAGA